GAGGATCATATTTCATTTCTGCATTTCTAACTCAAGGATGGCTGCAGACTGTCCTAAAAACAAATGTTTAACATGCCAGAGTCCCTGTTTTTGATACATATTATGTTCCTGCTACAAGGAAACTTTGTTCTTTAAACATCTGTTACTGGCAGATTATTTTTAAGAATGGCACATTTTCCAGGAACAAAACAATATGCCACCAGCAAGCAGGAATTTTTAGGAACATTGGCAAGTCTCACAAATATATCTATTTTTTTTTCTTTGCAATCAGAATAAAGTCAAGAGAAGATAGAAGGAAAAAACAGAGTAGACATGACCAATAAAGAAGTATATTTGTAGGTCAGGGTTGAAATGAGGGGTCCTTGGTTGTTTTCTTGCAGACGCTTCACTATCCAAACTAGGTAGCATCATCAGTGCTAGTGACTAGCACCGATGATGTTACCTACCATATTTTTTGGAGTATGAGATGCACCGGACTATAAGACGCACCTACCTTTTTTGCTGAGAAAAAGAAGAAAAAGAAATCTCCCTCTGCCTCTGAGCAATTTTGCCTCATTACAGCAAACAGCCTGCTTTACTTTAATTTTCGTTTTCAGCATAGCTTGATTAGCACAAGGGGGAAAAAAATCTGCTCCAGCAATTTTCTTCTTTGCTGCAAGCAGCAGAGGCCTGCCCAAAACAGCTGAGAGCAAGACAGCTGAGAGTTGGGAGACCGATCCAATCAACTTGTGCTAATTAGGCTGTGCTGAAGCTAAAAGGAACTTTTTTTCTTGCTGTTTGCTGTAAGGAAGTAATTGCTGGGGGGCAGAGGCCAAAGGGTGGGGGCCAGTGGGTAGGCAGGGCTACATTCGGTGTATAAGACGTACCTAAATTTTCACCACCTCCCCTTTAGGGGGGGAAAAAGGTGCATCTTATACTATGAAAAATACGGTAGTTTGGTAATTAAATGTCTGTAAGAAAACAACCAAGCTCAGACTACACCAAGGACCCCTCAGAATAGACATGACAGATTAAAACTCTGGTTCTTTTCTTGTATTTTATAATAACCAAAACTTTAAAATCAAGCCTTATAACACTATAAGAAACAACATTTGTTCTTCAAAATCATCTCTGCTAAACACATTAATGTAATAGAAGTATGTCATAAAGAACAAATGAATAGAAAAGAAGAAAAAAATTATAAGAAAACATGGATTCAGTGATCAAGACAAAGGTCGAAAATGCTTCTATATCTTTTCAGATATTGTAATTTTTGTTTGTTTGTTTGCTTCCAGATGCTATTGCTCTCTTGCTGTGTGAATCTGTTTCAAGTACAGAAAATACCTTCCTGAAGAAAAGCAATAACTAGACAATGCACTTCCTGAGGCAATGATTAATGAATCCATTTGGCAGAATAGCTTATCTTTGACATTCAGGGAGATTTCCCACATAGTGGGCCGATTGGCAGCTGTCAGAGTTAAACTTCAGAGTGTTAAGTAATACCACAGAGATTGTATATATCAAAAGCAAAATACCATTATGACAACCAGACTCTCATCCAGGCTAATGAGGCAAAATCTCCCATATTGCTTATAAATTCAGCTTAAAGGTTGGGAATCTTTTCAATCTCTTAAAAGTAGTCAGCATAGAAAACACAATGACTGTTTGGAAATGAGCATATTTGAATGGTGAGTTGCTGGGCTAACAACATCAATCAATCAATCAGTAGAATATCAGAAATATATACTTCTGTCCTGTAGCACAAGAGGCTGAGTATATACAGGACTGATTAGAAATCCTATGATAGTTATGTCCTTCCTGACCCCCTTTTTAACTTAAAAACAATGAATAAAGTAGGCCCAAAAATGTTTCACTATAGGGGCTACCAGGGAATATATAATGAAATGAAGATGGCTCTTTGTAAGTGGAGCTGATAACCTCAGCAAAGACCAAGGAATCAAAGTTTGGGTTTTTAAAAAAATATCTCCAGATAAAGAACTGGTGAGATATCACCCATATGTACTCTGCATGCTGTTCCTCACAAGGATTCCTCAGGACAGTGATCTCCCACCAAGAGACAAATTGGCCAATTGCTTGCGAACATGGCAGAGACTTTTATAGGACAACTGAGTCACCAAACTTCCCTTTTAATTACTTTCAGAAATTGTCTAAAGCTATTAGAGACCTTTGGAATGACAGGTTTGAAAAGTCTTCATTGGGTGAGTTTATCATCAATTCTGAACAAAAGAAAAATTACAAGTTGAAGATCTTAAAGAATTAGAAATAAACACCAAAAAGCTAAATAAGATATTGGTCTCAAAAGTTATAAATGAATTAAGGATCAAAATAAATTTGGAAAACTGACTTCTATTATTAGAATTAATTATTTGCTTCTCATAGGAAACAGACTTATTTTGGTTATCCTGGCAACTGAAAATCATAAAAAAAAAAGACAATTGATGATTTTAGAAACTGGACACTAGAGGAGACTAAAGATTCTAAGCAGAAAAAAGAAATTAAACAGTATATAAACCTGATGTCAGTTAATATTGGGATTAATGAGCCATGGTGAAGCATTGGTTAGAGTGCAGTACTGCAGGCTACTACTGCTGGCTGCCTGCAATTTGGCAGTTCAAATCTCACCAGGCTCAAGGTTGACTCAGCCTTCCATCTTTCTGAGGTGGGTAAAATGAGGACCCAGATTGTTGGGGGCAATAGGCTGACTCTGTAAACTGCTTAGAGAGGGCTATAAAGAACTGTAATGTGGTATATAAGTCTAAGTGCTATTGCTACCGCTATTACAGAATGACACAAACATTGAAACATTGGGAATATTAAAGGAGAATCTTTGAAGAATAGAGCAAGACTTTTGCAACCAGAATATCAACATTCTCAGTAATGGTGTCTGCTTCTATGGATAGACTATGTCTAAAACAAATCAATGAAGGAATGACAAATGTGGAACAATTTTTATTGATAAGATAAAGTATAAAACATGGAATAAAAATAAAAGGAAAGAGAATGATTTAGAAAAGAATGCTTTGCTGGATATGCATATTAAACCTGCTAAAGTTTTAAAAATTAAAAGGGAAATACAAATGATAAATCAAGATGACCTTAATCTGTTATTGGATCTACAAAAGATGTTTGTTAAAGCCATGAAAAAAAAAAAAGAAGAATTAAAGATTCTTCAAATCCTACAGTAATTTTAAATTAAAGATTAAGACTGTCAGAAGTAAAAGGAAAAAAAGATATATAGTTGAACAAGGTTAAAATAAGACATTTTTTGCAATGTTCAAAAACGCTGACCCTTTATAGATCTTTTGCTGACATCCGGATTGAAAAATGGATATTTTATGGATTTATTTATAGATAAGGGATGGGATATGGGATGAAGAGTTATCTATTTAACCTTATATGGGTGAAGTGTTACTAAATTTGTTTTTATTTGTTGTGATGAAAGTTGGAAGTCCCATTTTTATATATTGATTTTTCTTATTATTTCTTTTTTAATTATATTTTTCCTCCACTATTTCTACGTTTCCACATTCTTCTCTTTTTTTAAGTTTAGTGTGTATTAGTTTTTACAATTACAATTAAATTAAATAAAATTATATTAAAAAAATATTTAACTACAACATATTATACACAGTGCCAGGGCAAATATGAAGTTGGTAAATTTGAAGCATGAAGAAGAAATGAAACAATTATGGTTTAATAAATTCCTCTGCATATTACATATGAATGGGACCAATGATAGGATCAATATATGTACATCTGGCATTTGAAAAACAAGAAACTGAGGGAAACTGAGTAGAAAGTAACCATCTGTTTGCAGTTGTTTCCTGAGGGGTAATCATAGGAATCTGCTGCAATAACAATATGAACAAAAAGCCTTATGGCATTTAAAAAACTAAGCCACACAGGACTTGTTTGCTTGCGCCTATTTATAGCGATGTTTGTACACATTTTAAACATATTTTCAGCATAATAAATCAATATTCAATGATTAGCATTACACCTAAAACATGTGATGCCTAACCTCCTTTGAAAATTAAATATTTTCTGAATATTATTTACATAGCAAAATGGCTAATCTTCAAAAGCATGATTTAACCTTACATTTGTTTCTTTAGGGGATGATAGGCTATTGGGGTGTGTGTGTGTGAGAGAGATTCCTGAGAAATGAACTGTACCAATTTGCAACTTCACACCCTCAAATACCTCAGAACATGCAATCATGCATGTGCGCATACTGACACACAGACACACAGAGAAACACATACACACAAACTTTCAACTCTGTCCCAAGTGTACACACACACACACACACACACACACATTAAAAACTTTCAACCCTGTCCCTTCTCTGTCAGTAATGGCTTCCTACAGCCTTTCAGCATGAAGATCAGGATGGCACCCAATCTTTTAGAAGTTGCCTATTTCTGATAGAGTATTATGGATGCAGAGAGCATCTTCAGAAAATGAGAATGCAAGTTTATATCCCAGGACAGAGACAAAAGAAGAAAAGAAGTTGAGGCAGAGATATAAAATGGAAGAATATACCACTTCAATAATATCTAACTATTTTTCACCATCTTAATTTATTTGCGTTATATTGTGTTATAGGAAGTCAGTTATTGTTTTGGCTTAGCATACTTATTTTAAACTGTAACTCTTATCAGACAATTGAATAATTCCATAATGAATCAAAAAAGCATTAAAAATCATATGCCACAGTATGCCTTTCAAAATGCACAATAATCCTTTGAGTTTTAAAATTCCCAGTTTGATCTGCTAAGAATTAAGATACGTTAATTTGCTTAATTGCTTATTTTGTCCCTGACTTTTTCAAGGGCCTAAAAGAATAAAATAAGGAATATTTCTGACAAAAATTAACCGTCTCAGTAAATGGTGAACTGTTAGACACTGTCAAAAGGGCTACTGAAGGATGAAGTCACCCTGAAGTAACATACTATGGTTCATAAATACCTCAGAGTAGATCAAGACATTATTCTTACCTAAATCCTTGAGGACAAATGCAGGTGTATCCATTTACAGCATCTACACACATGGCACCATGGCGACATTTGTGTCCCCTGCAGTCATCATCATCTGTTTCACAGTGCTTTCCACTGTAGCCTGGTAAGCATTCACACCTGCAATAAGATCATTAAGGACTCCATTAATACAAAGTTGCATATTAGATTGTATCTCCAAAACCTGTTCACAGTATGCATGTGTATGAAACGAATAGCCAACCCAAAATAAAATGGCACTTTCAGTCTTACACATCAGAGACGTGCATTAACTGGTATTTTTTTCGTTTTTCCCAATGAGAGGAAAATGCTTTCTAATTTATTTCCAACTAGAAAGGTTTGAAATGTGGTTGATAAAGTACAGAGCAGTGTCTCTCAGCCTTGTCAACTTGATATCTGGACTTCAACTCCCGAAATTCTCCTGCCAGCACATGCTCTTGGCTGAAACTTGGTTTTTAAAGTTACAGGCAGATCTCTCAGGAAAACTGGGCAGTCTCTCAAAATCTTCAACATGCTTTGGAATAGCCTGAATGTACAACATAAGCAGTGGTGGGATTCAGCCAGTTCGCACCACTTCGGGAGAACCAGTTGTTAACTTTATGAGCAATTTGGTGAATTGATTGTTGGAAGAAATCATTAGGGCAGAGAACTGGTTGTTAAATTGTTTGAATCCCACCACATAAGCCACATTTCAAGCCTCCCTGGAAAATAATGAACATATTCAAACAAGTGCAAAAGAAGTAGAGTTCCTATATTTAATATTTAACATATTTGGAAAAGGCACTTCCATATACTTTTGGGCTGTAGCTATAATGCTCTATCTTAAGAGTAAAAGATTGGAATAGAAAATGAGACAGAATTGCATCAAAGTTAAGACGTTCATATAAGTAGTAGAGTTTAACTAATAAGATCGTCTTATTGTGCAGCAGAGATGCAATGATTACATTTCATCAATCTGAGTGCATTACGTACAAAGAAAACATCTTTTAGGACCAGTTCAAGCATTACTAAAATCTAAATGGCTAAAAATGTGTGTGCATGTGTCTGAATGCAGCTGTATTAATAGACATTTTATTTAATGTATACTTCTCATAAATATACTAGAGATACATCAAAACTTAGAGCTGACATTAGAATAAAAGACTGCAATAATCAATGCAGGACATTTTTATTTTATATAATGATATAAATGTATCGTTTATTTTATTTGTTTATTTATTTGTTTAAATTTCTATACCGCCCTTCTCCAATGTAGGACTCAGGGCGGTGAACAGCCAAAGTAAAAACAAGACATACATACAAAACATACAAAATCTAAAAACTGTTTAAAATAATTAAATAATTTTGGCCGTAATTAAAACATTCCAATTTAAAATCCATTTAAAATTTGACTCAAGCCAGCCCAGCTAGTTGAAATAAATGGGTTTTCAGGGCCCGACGAAAAATCCGGAGGTCTGTTATTGTACGTAGCTCTGGGGGGAGGTTGTTCCAGAGGGCGGGCGCCGCCACAAAGAAGGCTCTCCCCCTGGGGGTCGCCAGCCGACATTGTCTGGCGGACGGCACCCTGAGGAGGCCCACTCTGTGGGAGCGTACTGGCCGGTGGGAGGCTATTGGTGGCAGAAGGCGGTCTCGTAAGTACCCCGGCCCTAAGCCATGGAGCGCTTTAAAGGTGGTCACCAACACCTTGAAGCGCACCCGGAAGACCACCGGGAGCCAGTGCAGCTCGCGCAGGAGAGGTGTCACGTGGGAGCGTCTCGTCGCCCCCAAAATCCCCCGCGCGGCCGCGTTCTGGACCAGCTGGAGCCTCCGGGTGCACCCCAGGGGGAGCCCCATGTAGAGAGCTTTGCAGTAGTCCAGGCGGGAAGTGACGAGTGCCTGAGTGACTGTGCGTAGGGAGTCCCGATCTAGAAAGGGGCGCAACTGGCGTATCAGGCGGACCTGATAAAAAGCCCCCCTGGCCACGGCCGCCAAATGATCTTCTAACGACAGCCGTGCATCCAGGAGGACGCCCAAGTTACGAGCCCTCTCCGTGGGGGCGAGTGATTCGCCCCCAATAGCCAGCGATGGCGTCAGCTGGCTATATCGGGACGCCGGAAGCCACAGCCACTCGGTCTTGGAGGGGTTGAGTTGGAGCCTGTTTCTCGTAATGCTAGCAAACGTTTATTACAAATTTCTGGTGAATTATTGAAAAGTTTTTTTTATAGTTTTAGTCTTGCAAAAAAAAATTGGTATTTTTAAATCTCAAGGGGTCAGACACCAGACATTAATTTAAAGGGGAGTCAATTTCAGAGATCAGGAACTGTATGGGAAAAAATCCTCTAAAACGTGAAGAGGCTATTTTAATGGAAAGAAAAACTAACTGACCTTGATTGTACAATTTAGCTGATCTCAATGGAACATTAGTTATAATCTAGTGATTCAAATAATAAAGAATTTAAATGGATAATGTTCCTGATATAGAGATCTAAAAGTAGATATTATGATGTCAGGAAAGATCTAGGCTGCCTAAATTGCATTACAGGTATTTCTTGACTTATGATGACAATTGAGTCCAAAATTTCAGTTGTTGTGAGTTGTTTGTTAAGTGAGTTTTGCCCCATTTTATGACCTTTCTTGCCACAGTTAAGGGAATTATTGCATTATAAATTAGTAACCTGGTTGTTAAGTGAATCTGGCTTCCCCATTGACTTTGCTTGTCAGAAAGTTGCAAAAGATGATCACATGACCCTGGGACATAGCAACGGTCATAAGTATAAACCAGTGGCCAAGCATCTGAATTTTGATCAAATGATCATGGAGATACTTCAAAGATTATAGTTGTGAAAAATGGTCATAAGTCACTTTTTTCAGTGCTGTTGTAACTTTAAATTGTCACTAAATGAACTGTTGTAACTTGAGGACTACCTGTACTGTAAATCCAAACAAGAGGATGGAGAGCAGAATTGGAAAGTTCTACCAATAAACTATAAATCCAGGCAGGACATCACCAAGTTCAAAGGTAATTATTTAAAATTTCTGAAGTTTGATACAAACAAATTTCCCTTCTACTGGAGATATCTTTAAATAAATCACTAAATTTAGATTTCAAATTCTTAGCTCAAATAAAATTGATTGTTCTACCATAATATTAAACTTATTTTTATGTCCTTATTCATTACTTCGTGATTTAAGGTCAGTTAGTTTTGAAGGAATTCAGCTGAACAGGCATTCAGGCCTTTGCCAGTTTTGCAGCTAAATTTTATTGAAGAAATCAAGTATTGGCTTGCCTCTCAATCTAACAGCATCATTATCTCGTGATAAGATCATTCATGATTGGTCTGCTCACTGCTGGAATTCATCCACACTGGATTCCTTGCCAATCTACAAATATTCAGATCATCTCAGTTTGCATGAAATCTGTTCAAACTGAATTCCTGAACAATTGCTTCAACTGCTATTATAGTAGTTGCCGTTATTCTATACAACATCTCGTATCAGTTGCAGTTATTCCTCTATAACTTTGAATTGGAAAAAAAGGGGAGATTGTCTCTTATTAAATCCACAGAGGTGACTAGGTGGCTCAGTGGCTAAGACACTGAGCTTGTCGATCAGAAAGGTTGGCAGTTTGGTGATTCGAATCCCTAGTACAGGTCTCCTGTGTGAGCAGAGGGTTGACTAGATGACCTCCAAGGTCCCTTCCAACTCTGTTACTGTAAATCCAAAGATTACTGTTTTTTAAAAGTTTTGAAACAGCATAGCAACCAATTCTAGCAATGTTTCAGGCATACTGGCAAGGAAATGGTGTTCATAAAAATTTGCTGTGGGAGGAAATAGCAACATTTAATTCTCTTGCTTTATTGATCCCTGTTGCCCCAAATAAAGTGATGCAATAACAAATGATGCACACATCCTTATTGAAAGCTGCCATGGATCACATTTTTGACATATATTGGCTATTGTCATAACGATAGAACCACTACTTTTCTTGGAAGACAGCATTAAATCAACGCTTTAACTTTTGTCAGTAATTCCATGCTACAGAATAATAAAGTTTATTTATAACTGTGCTCTAACACATCGGGCAATTGGAACAACAGCTTCCTTCCCTGGAGAAATATATTAAATTAATGTACAGTATATATATATATATATATATATATCTCACTGGAAGATTTCATGAAGAATTGTATGGAAAAAAGTTAGTTACATAACCGAAAATCTTAAATGTTAGAGCAATAGGGAATTGTGTTAAATACTACCTCTGGTTACTTTAATTTCAGACCACTTCTATTGGTTTTGGCCTCAGGTTTATTGAAGGATCACAAACCTGAAGCCAAAACCAATATAAGTAGTCTGAAATGAAGGTAACCAGAAAATAGTGTTACAGCAGTCAATACTTTAATTTATTTCAGTTACTATTTTCTTCTCTCTTTTTTTTATTTTTCATTCCTGAATTTATGTGCTCCCTCTTCCCTTAATCATTGATGATCATGATTTTTTCAGATTTCCTTCATCCCTGGAAGTGATAAATCAGAAAGTAGCATCTCTTCCAAAGGAATAAGCTATAATGAGAGATAGCTCACTTCATCAGATACATAGACTGATATAGGATTTAAACTAGAAGGTCCACTTAGATTTATTAAAACTTTATTGCTTAATTAAGATAGAAGTTTTTATTAATGCTAATTCTAATCTACTCTAACAGCTGCTTTATGGAATCCCCAAATTTATTACCATGGGACACATTTTGGCTCAAACACAAATATCAAACCAAAGAAATTAAAGATAAAAAAGAAAAGAAAATGTAGCTAAATCTAATTTATATTAGCACCTTTTATTATATCTCTATATTCTTGCAAACAGGGGTGAAATTCAGCAGGTTCTGACAAGTTCTGGAGAACTGGTAGCGGAAATTTTGAGTAGTTTGGAGAACTGGCAAATACCACCTCTGGCTGGCCGCAGAGTGGGGTGAGAATGGGGATTTTGCAGTATCCTTCCCCTGGAGTGGGGTGGGAATGGAGATTTTTGCATTATCCTTCCCCTGCCATGCTCACCAAGCCATACCATGCCCACCAAGCCATGCCCACAGAACCGGTAGTAAAAAAATTTGAATCCCACCACTGCTTGCAAACTATCTTTGCTTCCATTATTTTCATATACCAATTCATACAATGTCTTTTGTTCCTAATTTTTTTCATCTCTTTATTCTTGAAGAATTTCTTAACTCTGTCCAACATAACTTTGCCCTTCCCATTTCTTTATTCAAATATTTATGTTGTGGTTTTTATTCTCATTCTCGGTACATGATCAGATGTCATCAATAAGCTTCTTTCATAATTGGTCAGTGATTTCTGAAACTAAGCAAAAGTCAATGTTTGTTTCTGTTCTTCCTTAGAAAAGATCATTTCCAACAATACTTTAGATAACTCAACTATTTTTATTTCACTTTAGGAATAAAGTGGGGCTTCATCTTATTTCTTTTGTTTGGAAGCAAATCAAAAGTCATAATATATGCATTTTGGTTTTAGCAGCAAATCGTAACTATAAATTGGCATAAATGAAAACACTTTGGCAATTTAATAGGGACACAAAAAAAGACCCCAACTGGGCATCCTCTGGGCAATGGTAATGTCACCAGTTGATCCTTTCACCACAGGAGTGTTTCGGTGCTTCTGACATGGAAGTATAATACAAAAAAAAAAATCTCCTTCATTTTTTTTGTAACTGGCATTAAACTGAAATATAAGGAATCACACCTATTATTTGAACAACAAATTTAATAGCTATATTTGAAGAAGTACAATTAATGAATGGATATGCAGTTTACTTTTCCCCAGGCTTCCTGAATTACAGTGTGCAATGGGGAGAGATAATATGTTTATTAGTTTGGTCTGGAATAAGGGGTCCTTGGTGCACGCTCTGAATTTGGTTGTTTTCTTGCATAGAAAACACTGGAATGTGGCAATTAGTTAATAAAGTAACTCATTAGGATTCTGGCTTAATATACAATATTTTAACATAGAAATAGTACATACTTACTTATATTCTCTATCAAGAGAAATACATTTGGATTCATGTTTGCAAGGGGCTAGTTCAGGCACGCAATGGTTGATGACTTCATCACAGAGTTCTCCTGAAATAAAAATAAAATTAAGAGAGCTTTTAATATAAATTTAGTAGAAGTTTAGTTGCCTGAATGATAATTAGAACTGAGGAATGAAAAATGCTTATGAAGAAACTATTGAGGACAATGATACTACAACCCTTCTTTTTTTTAAAAAAAGAAATGAATGGCATACCCATGATTAAAACTTTTATTGTGGTTTAAGACTAGTCAATGCAGCAAAAATAAATAAATACAGAAACATTGTACAAATAATGCATTGTATATGAAACATGTAATACTGGAAGATTTATTGAGGTCTTTATGAATGTTATGAATATTAATGTTGTCCTAAAACAAAATAAATAATTGTTTATCATCAGAAACACATTTAGAAATGCCCATATAACCCAAAATGAATACACTTATCTTCGATTGTTCCAAAGAGGGCAAAAACAGGAAGTTTTTGCTAGAGGATGTTATAAATTGAGTGCCAAACTGTATCCAGAATTTTGTCTTTGCCTTGTTAGTTTGATTGTAACTGTGTTACATTCAGTGTTACAGGGCTTGTCTTAAAAAACAACAACTCTATTAGCCAATTTTATATGTAATGTTTGACATTCAGTGAACAAAAACCATCTCCATGTCAACTCCAATTATTACAGAAACCAGCCCAGTTGGACTCTACAAAAATTTCAATCAATATCTGAGAATAACAATACAGAGCTTAGTCTCAATCCTTGTGATTGCCAGTTTCTGTCTTACAGAAGCACTGGAGATATAGTCAAGAACCTGCAGATTTTATCTGAAGAATTGGGATTGATCCTGTCCATTAGCAGTACTGATACAGTGGTTCATTTATTGTGAACCACACTTTCATGGGAAAAATGAGTCTAAAGATGTGGATAATGGTCATGGAACATGTGCCATTTTAATGTACCATATTTTTCGCCACTATAATTTGCATCATCTCAGTAGAGCAACCCCAATTTCACAGTAGAATATCACATGGACACACATTCACACTTCTAGCTTGTATTCAGTCTTGTGACTGGTGCAAAGAAAACAAGCAATTCATTTATCATTATGCTGAATGACACTGGTGGTATCAAAAGATTTTGACTATATGTTGATTTTTTTTAAAAAAAATCCCACAATAATATAATAATATGATTCAAAACCTCAATGCTAAACAGATGTAAGGAACCGTGGTGACACAGTGGTTAGAATGCAGTACTACCGGCTAAATCTGCCAACTGCCAGGAATTCGATCCTGCCAGCTCAAGGTTGATTCAGCTTTCCATCCATCTGAGAGGTTGGTAAAACGAGGATCCAGATTGTTGAGGGCAAGACACTGACTTATAAACCCAACTAGAGTGTCGTAAAGCACTATGAAGTGATATATAATCTAAGTGCTATTGCTATATAACACTGAATGAAGCACGTGCTTAAGGAGCAAATAATAGTCCACACCCAAAAGAGTCCATCAGAACTGCATTCTTAAATAAAATGTTCTCAAGTACAGAGAATAGTGCAGCTGATTTTTGTTAATACCTATTCAAAATCTTGTTTTGTACTTCTAGTTTCTAATAATGAACAAATGATTCACAATGATCAAACCCATAATCTTCTGAATAATAGTGTTATGATAAAATTCTATACTTGACTTATTTTTTTTAATAATCTCTTACATTTCCTGAACAATTTCAGCTGTATTGTAAGGTTTCATATCAAATGATTCCTGCATAAAGGTTCTGAAATGTATTTCAGTCCAATATTTCATTTCAGTTACAATCTTGCACATATTTGCGCACATATGCACACATGCATACTAATAACATAACTCTCAATGGCCAAAATTAAACTGTAAAATATGTTATCAGAATTTTTATTGTGCTAATTATTAGCTTAGTAGTAAAAAAAAACCACACCTCATTTACAGATTTCCAGCACCAAAATCAAATAACAGCACCTTCATTATTGCCAATTACCATTACCACTGGAGTCCCAAAATTGGCTTAATTATTCATTGTAAAAGATTCGTCCCAAAACTTCACCGGAAACACATGGAGTTCGTCCATAAATTATTTATGGCTGTCATTTCCCTAGTATAGAAACAGTGTTAACAATTGTCCCAATGAATATCCAAGAAGCACAGAACTGTATGTTACTACAATATGACCTCCAGCTTAGTTCATAGCTTGTTGCCCATTTGCTGAAGGCATCCCAAAGTGTTAGGTCTATCATGTATCAAGCTGAAATTTTCTTATAAAGCAAAGAAAAAAAAAATCAGTTTGACCAGTACTGAAACTGGTACCAATCCAGTTGATGCCTGCTCCGTTTATGCAAATGTAAAGAAAGAGCTTTATTTTTTTAAAAAATTAGGGACTCAGTCAAAATGGAACATTATGGACATGAGCCTTAATAATTGTTAATTATTTCTGACAATTATAAATGCTGACATTTTAGATATTATCAGCAATGTAAACAAATGCTAATACAAATTTTTGGAGATTGCAATGTACCTTTAGGTATATTCTATCAAAATGTTAACACACACACACACACACACACAAAATCTAGATCTGTAGACAAGTACACAATATATACATACACAATTTACATAATTTTACATATACATATTTACATATTACATATTTATATATGTATACACACACACAAATACACAAGGTATATATATTCAACATATATTCTATGTATAATTATATGTATGTGTAAGTTTGCTATATTACATATACTTTAAGTTAAATAACAGGATGAGATCGTGAATTTTTGTTTCATCTTCCAAATATCATCTTCCAAAAAGCAGCTAGTGGTGATATGTGGCTATTCTGGTATTTAAATATAGGATGCACCGCCTTAAGTGCCTCCAACCCCTCTAGCATGTAAGGGTATACTACTTTCTTTACAAATTAATAAGCCTATAATAACTGAATGCACTAAATTGGAAGGTAAAGAATAAAGAATCAGAATGGCTGATACATAATCCTGAACAAAAGTCACACTGGCATCATTGTAACTTTCATATAGGTTTAAAATGAAATCTACAAAACTTTAAGATTTTACATGTATTGAACAAGGTCAGCTAATTATTGGAGATGTAATTCTTAAAACTAACATTGTTTCATATGATATGGCCATATGCTATTATAGCCATAATTTCATATATTCATTTGGTTAATGAAGACTCAGTCTATATTGTGCAAGTTTGTATTCTCTTTAATTATTTACTAATGATTTCAATTTGAAATAGATAGTGTATGCTATGATAGAGAAAATCTTACAAGAATGGAAGAATATACTTTTTCTATTAATTATACCGTGATTTAGAAAACTTAGAAATAATTTACAAATATTTATTATAAATAATGTAATGTCAAACTTTTGAAATTTGGAATGTGTATATGAGTTTTTGTTTCATTTTTCATGTTTTAATAATATTAACAAACTTAAAGATAAAGTTTGGGATGATATATATTTGAAGCAATGCTAGTTTTTGATTCCTGTATGATCATTTCCTTGCATGTAAATTGAGATACTTTTTATTTTTGAAATTAAATATATTTTATATTGGTCAAACCTACATTACTTATTGTAAGTTATATTGGTGAATAGGACAAGCAAGTCTTCCTTAACCTGTTACCATTGAAATGCAGATGACTTTGGGCTATTTCTTCTTTCCCAGTCTTAGGAAGAAGGCAAATCCATTTCTTAGTCACTTCTCAAAATATTATAATTTGTTCTGATTTAATTTATTGTGTTTCACAGGGAGACATATACAGCAAACATCCCTGACTTGTTGACAGGATTAGGATAACTTTTTAATTTAAGAGACATTTCACTTTAACAGACATCCCACTATCTTATGAGCCAAACTATTACTTTTAATGAAGTATGATCTAGATAATTCCAACACTATAATAATCCATTCAAGTACTTTGGCCACCTAATGAGAAGGAAAGACTCACTGGAGAAGTGCCTAATGCTGGGAAAGATTGAGGGCAAAAGAAGAACGGGACGACAGAGAACGAGGTGGCTGGATGGAGTCACTGAAGCAGAAGGTCTGAGCTTAAATGGACTCCAGAGGATGGTAGAGGACAGGAAGGCCTAGAGGAATGCTGACCATGTCGCAATGGGTCGGACATGACTTCACAACTAACATCAACAAATAATTATCCATGTTATACTTGAGGATTAGTTGATACAGCTACATTTTAAAGGCACTCTGAAAGGCATTACTGCCTTTCTTTGGATCACCAGTTTGACACACCTGATCTATTGGATATATAGTTGTTTGCACTCACCATACGACCTACTTCTCAATAGCTAAATCCTTTCTGCCCTTAACTCAATGAGGAAGAAGCAATATTGTACATTTAATTACCAAACACTAGAAGTCATAAATGGTATGTATTCTGTTATGATAATTCCATTGTGGAAAGCACAATAATTAAATGAAATCAAATGCATGCAAATATTTTCTAGTCTGCTGGGCTGGCTTTTGTTTTGTAGTCATTAGAGGCCACAATGAATCAGCATTAACATATGTTCCTAGCAGTTAATCCTACATGGGTTAAAGGCCTGGAGACCCTCCCATGTTTCATTTGCCAAAGAACAATGCATTTTCCACTAAGGAAAATTTGCTTTCTAAAACTCTCTTCTGCCAAAAACACTTCCAGGCATATAAATCATTTCAGGAATCAAACATAGTCACAAAGAAAAGAACAGGTACACATTAATCACAGATTAAAGATTAATGTTAGTATAACCACTCATTTGATAAAAAACAAAAACCAGCCTATTGAATTTAGTTTTTGAGGAGCCATGCACTATAAATAGTAAAAGTCCTACTTGTGTCAAAAACATCCTTTGATATTTTAACAGGTTTTTATTTAATAGCTAGGATAAACTTTTGACAATATCCAAAAGAAAGTATTTTCTTCCAGTGAATATATATAATTTTTATTTACAAAATTTTAAAATAATAAATACAACATAGAAATGTTGAA